TTCTATCTTGGGTATGTTATATTTCTCCACTTAAAACTTTCTCACTAAGTCGTTCTGGCACCCCTTTTGTAGGTTGAAGAATTACAGAAGCATAGTGCTGGCAATCCCTTGCTCATTCCTAGCATGTCAGTTACAATGGAAACAAAAATGATCATGAGCAACATCCAGCGAATTATTCAGGTAAGGTGATCAGAAATAGAGCATAGCCTGGAGTCTTGCCCCTGTTCTCTCCCAAGACTTACTACCCTTTAAAACCTCCACTCCAGAAACAAATAAATGCCACACTGAGGTGGGAAATTCTGGAAAATGTGATAAATGCCACATTGAGGTGGGAAATTCTGGAAAATCCATGATGGCTTAATTCCAAGTGACATCACTATATAGTCAGGAGGAAACATTTCTCTTTGAGAATATTTCAGAATTTTGCTTTACTTTATAGCCATTTATATGTTTAATCTATTGGGCATAGTGATTTGTATCCCTCAGGAATAAGTTGTCTTAAATATTATATGTTTTTTATCTCAAAATATGTAACATCGCTGTTCAAGTTGATTCCCTTTTATCTGGCACTTTTCTCTTAAAAACTTAAGATATACATCATACATTTTGAATCCAGGAAAATGAAAGATTGAAGCAAGAGATCCTTGAAAAGAGCAGTCGGATAGAAGAACAGAATGACAAGATTAGTGAACTAATTGAACGAAATCAGAGGTAATGACAGATACGGGGCACTAGCTAGGATGGACAAAAGGGTTTAATTTGTAAATGCCCAAGTTAAATAAACATATTTGTTTAAGGCAATTTATCTTTCTTCTACTTCTGTTTCCTGCCTATCATGTGAATTATTGCTTGTTTTCTGAGAGGCATTTCAGTAGAGAGTGCTCAGTAGGCTGTGATGTTAGGCAGACCTGTGTTTGAACCCAGCTCTCTCTTCATTTGTAACCTGGCTTTGGGTATTGTGTTTATTCCTACTGGTCTAGTTCCCATAAAAGTGATGCTAATACTCAGAAAACTGGTATAAACTCTTCCTCTTCTGTGTAGGTTGAATCTCTTCAATCAATGAGATTCCCAAGCATTTTGTAACTTTTCTACATCCTTTTGAAGATTTAAGTGTGGGTCAGGGATATTTGTCATAGCCTATAGTGTTTCACTTAAAAAATCATTCTCCCATGTTTTTCTTCATGTCTCTTATCTCTCACATGGAAGGGGGGCAGGGAGGGGCTTTCTTTTCTTCCCTCTTGCAACCTTCTTACTCCAGTCTCTTTTGCCTTCTCATCCCCTTTCACCACGACACACACCCTTCTAATTTCTCTTCTCTCCATTATGCAAATTCAAAACAGTTCACCTCCATCCCAGGTTCCTGACACCAAACTTGATTGCAGCTCTAAGGGAAAGAAAAATCTTTTATATTGTTTATGAAGGTAGAGAGCAATGTTGTGAGGCCTGAATGTGTTACACCTGGAATACATTTGATGCTTGATAAATGTGTGTTGTTTTCCCCCCCCCTATATATGTCATAGGTATGTTGAGCAGAATAACCTGATGATGGAGAAGAGGAACAACTCACTTCAATCAGCCACAGAAAACACACAGGCAAGAGTATTGCATGCTGAACAAGAGAAGGTAAAGTAACTGGGGAGAGAAAAGCCAGGGCAGGATGTGTAGAGCTCAGGAGTCGTCCCGTGTACGTAATTACCAATCTGCTTTTCAACAAATTTTTGCCATCATTGGGAAGAGAACTAGAAATCTTCCAGTAGCCAGGACCGGTTTGGCTCAATGGATAGAGCGTCGGCTTGGGGACTGAAGGGTCCCGGGTTCGATTCCGGTCAAGGGCATGTACCTTGGTTGCGGGCACATCCCCAGTAGGGGGTGTGCAAGAGGCAACTGATCGATGACTCTCTCTCATCAATGTTTCTAACTCTCTATCTCTCTCCCTTCCTCTCTGTACAAAATCAATAAAAAAATATATATTAAAAAAAATTAAAAAAAATCTTCCAGTAGATTTTAATATGTCCATCATCCAGATATCTGTTATGTAGTATACTTTGCAATAAGTTGACTCAGAAACAATCACTGATCTTAGTAATTTATGAATTATACAGCTTATTGCAAACTAAATTTATTCTGTTGATAAGAAAGTAGACAATTGTAAAAATGCATGTAAATTATAAGAGCAATAATGGTAGTAGCAGTGTAATAGTGCAGGAGAGATGGTTCGACCCCATGACTACGTTGCTGTCCAGAAAGCAAGACTAGTCATGAGAAGAGCAATCACTTAATACCTTTCCTGTTATAATAAACAGAATATCATCAGATTAGGTTTTGCAACCATTATTTTACTTCCATTTGTCTAGGGCAGAGCACCATTTAATATACATCAAGCAGTCAAAAGTTGAAGCATTCCCTTCTTTTATTAGCTCTGTTTTTCTAAGAACCCCCCAAACAGTAACTCTCATGGGGCTGATCTTTACATTGTAGGACTAATGTTAGTGCAGTATTACAGGGAAGAAATTATAGTTGATTGCCATTGAAGACATTCAGTTTAAATTTTTAAATTTCCTTTTTTAGTAAAAAAAAAACAGAAAAGTTAGGAAATGGTAGGAATACCTTTTTTTTTTTTTTTTTTTTTCATGTATCAGATTGGTGATGTTTACCAATAGGTTGTAACTGTATCCAATGCCATTAATATTCTTGGACACCATTCAGAGTAGTTGTATCATAATTTGCTTAAGCCCATTTGTGAGCATTTTATTTTTTCATTCTTTTTCAACTAAATACAATGCTACGTCAAACATCATTGTAGCAACATTTTTGTAATCTTCTCAAGAATTTCCTAAGGACAAATTTCTTCAAGGGAATTCCTGAGTCAGCCACTTTGTACGTTTGAAGGTCTGATTTTAGTTCAATCCAGATTAAAGGTGGGTTTAGCTTAGCTCCCTTTCTACCAGTTCAGTCAGCATAGAGTATGTGAGGCTGGGTCGTCACTTAGGGACAAAGAACACCCTTTTTAAAGTGACGTCATGCTTTGTTACTCTTTAGGCCAAGGTGACGGAAGAGTTAGCAGCAGCCACTGCACAGGTCTCTCACCTGCAGCTGAAAATGACTGCTCACCAAAAGAAAGAAACCGAGCTGCAGATGCAGCTGACCGAAAGCTTGAAGGAGACAGACCTCTTCAGGGGCCAGCTCACCAAACTGCAGGCCGAGCTCTCAGGTAAGCCCTGTGTAGAGAGGGCGGGACTCTGACCATTTCCTTCCTCTCAATACCTTTGGCAAAATGCTCATGAAGTTTGTGAAGACTGAGCCAAAAATTAAGGCGGGCCAGTATAAACCTACATGATGGTTTGATGAAAGGACAACAAAAGAATGACTATGCGTGTAGAATTGATCAGTGGCCACAGTTTCGCTTTGTTTGAGCAAGTGTTGGCCTTCAATATCTTTGGACTTACAGTTGGCCTCGTAGGCTGGGATGTTAGAGTTGCTCTAACTCTTGACAGAGGGAGTTTTTGAAAGAGGTGCTTCCTGTACTGGTTGCCTGTTTCCTGGAGAATAGATTGCAGCTCTTTAGCCAGCACTCAGGGCCCCTCCATCTTGGCTTATTTCCCGTTTTGCTGCTCAGTTCATCCTGGCTCTACTCCTCAGCACATCTGTAGTTCTTGTCTTGCTTTATATCCATGTTGTTCTCAGGACTTGGTGTGCCCACCCTCGCCAATATTCCCATTCTCCACTTCCCCCAAATTTGCCTCTTTCAGAAGATTTCCTTGTTTTTCCCCTACAATATTTGATCTTCTTTAAATTTTTTTCCTCATGCATCATTACAGCCATTCTCACATGTTGCCTTTGATCAGCCCTATTTATATGCATGTTTTCCCCTCTAGAATGCAAGCCCCTAGAGGGCAAGGGTGGTGTCCTGCTCATAATTGTACAGGCCTTTCTTAAAAATTAGTGTTAATCAGTGCTCAGAGGTGGCACAAAGGTGGTGCTGAAGCCGTGGTGACTTAGAAGATTTGGGAAGACCAGCATGTTGATGCATCCACCTCAGTGCATGGAAACAAATGTGGAAGACTCAGATGGGACCAGTGGGTAGAGCTGGAGCAGCAGCAGAGTGGGCAAGAAGCAAACTTCACTGCCTGATAGCTAAAAAAAATAAAAAAATAAAAATAGTGATGTCAGTTGGTACAGAGACATCTTAAAGATAAATCCCTTTTCTTTTAGAGCATAACCTGGGTGCACATGAGAGATAGGCTTAGACTTAAATGCATACAGATTACCTCAAGAGTTCCATAGGGTCTCAAAAATTTTCTAAACAAAATAAATGATGTATTACATCATAAGGAGATATTTCAAATAGCTTTATTTGAGAAGGCATATTTTGAAAGCAAACTTTTGGTAGAATATCCCAGCTACCAAGAAACTTGAAAATACCTCTCCCAGCCAGTGAGAAAGGGCTGGACCAATACCAGACAGATCTGTCTAACGTGCTAAGACAGTGACTGCAATGGAATTGTGGGAGTGCTATATTTTTAAGGTGGCCTCTAACTGTACGGGTTAGTGGGGAAGTCACTATATGGCTTGTTGAATCTATGGCTGGTCAGTGAGGGGGTAACTGAAAGGACCGAGGGAAGATGCCTGTGTGGTAGGATTGGGAGATCACAGATTGCAGCTTTGAAGAAGCTTCTGAGATGCTGTAGAGCATGCTGTGGCTCTGGTTCTGCAGCTGAGTCTCTCTGCTGTTACATCCCAGAGCTCCAAGAATCCTCTGAGCAAGCACAGTCCAGATTCAAAAGTGAAAAGCAAAGCCGGAAGCAACTGGAACTCAAGGTGACAGCGCTGGAGGAAGAGCTGGCTGACCTTCGAGCTGAGAAGGAATCTCTGGAAAAGGTAAGTTTTACAACTGAACTGTCTCTGTTGAACCCCAGTGTCCAGAATTAGATGTTTAATATACACATTTTTACTTTCCTTTTAAAGATTACAATAGTATTCAAATAAGTCAGAAAGTATTCATTGTTATAGATCCTTGTAACACATAGTCTTCATGAACATGATTTATTGTTTCCTTAAGATAAATTACAGTTTGTGGAACTCCTGGGTGTGCATATTTTGAAATCTTTTCACAAGACTGCCAAATCACCACCTAAAGAGAGTATCCCCATTTATTTTTTTCCCAACTGGGCATGAAAGTGTCCACTGTTGAGATATTCCCCACTTCTTAATAGAATTATAGTTAAACCTTTTGTTTTCCTCCTGTTACAATTTTCTTAACCCCCAAATAGCCAAGAATGTTAAATACATAGGGAAAATTAACTAAAAAATGCAGTGTTTTCAGAAATGAAGTAAGGACTCATTGAGGTCAGTCACCACCACCACCATCTCCATTTACCCTCGAGCTGATTATGGTTCTCTTGTTCCTAAGAACCTCTCAGAAAGGAAAAAGAAGTCAGCTCAAGAGCGCTGCCAGGCTGAGGAGGAGATGGATGAAATTCGCAAGTCATACCAAGAGGAATTGGACAAACTTCGACAGCTCTTGAAAAAGACTCGTGTGTCCACAGACCAAGCAGCTTCAGAGCAGGTAATAGGAAACGGCACGTTGGAAATAAAAGGAAGGCATGAAGGGCTCAGAAAAATTTCTAGTTTATTTATCCTTTATGATGTCGTTTCTCATAGTCAGTGCTCTCACTTTGGAGAAAGATGGGCGAATGCAATTTAGATATAGGGGTGGGCAAAAGTAGGTTAAATTACCAGCCATCATCTAAAAGATAAATCATAAGTAAGAATATGAAATAATAATAATAAGACAAATAATAATAAGCAATACAAGAATAAACTTTTGCCCACCCCTGGATATAAAGAAGAGACAGGAATCGAATAGGCAATCATTCTGGTTTTAAAGCTAAGTGGAAATTTAATTATATAAGTAAAACATGAAAAAAAGCCTTTATAAACAATTCCAAACAATTTAAGGTTAAAGTCCTCAATCACCAGATACCATCTTTCGGACACATTATTATCCTTCAAAACAAGGGGGTTTATTTAGGTAATCAGCCAGGAAAACTGGGGATAGTGGCAGGCCACAGCTGGATCTCCAGTCCATCTGACAGTGACCTTTCTCCCTGTAAGTTCATAAATTTATATTATTTTGCCCATTTAATTAGAGTGAATTGATACCTCTGGGAATTTTGACAAAATTAAGTTTCTTCTGACCCTATAAAGTCTAGGGCCTGGACCCTGAGAAGATGAGCACATTCCAGTCCTGCCTTCTAGGAACCTGTCTAGACAATCACACCTTTATCTATATATAAAAAGTTCATTTACTGCCCTGTTGGCGTGGCTCAGTGTTTAAGCTTTGACCCATGAACTAGGAGGTCACTGTTCAAGTCCTGGTCAGGGTACATGCCCTGTAGGGCATGTGCAGGAGGCAGCCAATTGATGATTCTCATCATTGATGTTTCTCTTTCTCTTCTCTCTCTCCCCTTCTCTGAAATCAATAAAAAAAAATTTTTTTAAGTACATTTACTTTCAAAGTAACCAAGGTCTTCCAAACAGTTGTTTCCTGAGGAAGCTGGGTTATTAGCTTATTCTTTTGCCTTACAAAAGATGGGCTTCTCTGGATGCAACTGGACCCCCAGGATACAGTGACTACGTTTTCTTGGCAGCTGTCTCTAGTACAGGCTGAGCTGCAGACCCAGTGGGAAGCCAAATGTGAACACCTCTTGGCCTCCGCTAAGGATGAACACCTGCAGCAATATCAGGAGGTGTGTGCACAGAGGGATGCCAGCCAGCAGAAGCTGCTCCAGCTGCAGGAAAAGGTAGGCGTTTCCCCCGGGGCCAAACAGCTTAGCCCAGTTATATGAGACAAGCAGGTTGTCTGAGTCTTGTTGTTTCTTTTGATCCTAGAGATGCTAATAGCTTAAAAACAAAATCACACTTGTTCAACTCTCCACAGTAATATTTCACATTTATTTGGGATGGCAGATGAGTGACCTACTTAAAAGAAAAAGCAGCACTTAGTGTTCTAAGCATGTTTTCCATTATTATTTGACCCTTTTGCGAGTATTTATTGAGTACCAGTTGTGCTCCAGACACTGTGGTAGGGAAAGGATTTACCAAGAACTCTGCCCTCTAGAATCTCAGAAAAGAAAGAGGCACAATAGAGTAACAAAGGTGGGCATTAAGCTCTATGAGGCCCAGAGGAAGTGCTCAGGGGAGAAGAGCCAACAAGGCCAAGTAGTTTTTGCAAAGTGAAGAGGCAGCATAACATTCTGGGAAAAAGCACTGAGATAGGACGGAGCATGGGTGTGTGGAATCATCTTGGCATAAAAATGAGAGGGAGAGAGAGCTAGAGAGAGAAAGATAGGAGGTGGCTTAGGGGTCATGGTATGCAAGTCCCCATGTCTAGAGATTATTTTCTTTCTTTAAAGTATCCAGTTGAAAATCTTTGACTCAAAGATGATGAAGGCAATCTTATAGGTGAATAGGTTGCTTCTGATGTCTGTTACTAAATTTATAAGCTCCTTTTTTAATTTTATTTTTGACCTGATTAGGAACAAGGCAAGTGACCTTGTTGGGAAAGAGGAGGTGAAGTTGTGAGATGAAATTAAGTGATAAGGAAGAAGATGCTTGAGTCAGCAGGCAAGGGGTGGGGGTGGAGGGTGTGGACACCAGCAGATCTACCTGAGGTTGACTATTGATACTTAGGACGGTCCTCCTACTGGGTTTCCTGACTTTCCCATCTTGGTAGTCCAGGTTCCCTAGCCCACAAGCACAGTCTGTTCCTTTTGCAGTGTTTAGCCCTCCAGGCCCAAGTCACAACCCTGACGGAGCAAAATGAACAGCACATCAAGGAAATGGAGAAAAATAAGTCCCAGATGTCTGGGGTTGAAGGTGCTACTGACTCATCAGAGAAGGTGAGCTGGTAATTTGCTATGTCATACCAAGCATTCAGAAAGAATGTGGCCCATTTGCTGTGTTAACTTTTTTATTTTTTATTTTTTTATTTTAGCTTTAGTGGTACACCTTTACTAATATCTGACTTAAGTACAGGTTAACCCTTTGGAACCTGTCACTTTTGTGGTAAACCCTAAGGGCCCTATCCTGAATTTTTGACAAATAGGGAAGTGCCCCTAAATCACAGGAGAGGAGTAGGGAGTATTGCAGCACCCACTAGCCACTAATCCTGGAGCCCACAGAGCTGTAGTGGGCGTCACAGTGGGAGGAAATAATAGATGGTCTGTGAGCTGTCTTGGCATAGCTTCCCCATCCTTGATAACTCTTGTCCAGTGCTGCTCATTGTTTGGCATTTCCCTCTGCATAGTGACTGCCTTAGTCTCTGAGTTCATGACCAGTTGAGTCCTGCTGTAGAGTTTTATGAAAGCTTCATTTTAGCCTTCCAAACCCTCTGGAATTTATATACATTCCTCATCCCTAGATTTGTGCAGCATACATTTGGTATTGTTTCCTCCTCTCACATCTTCACTCAGGTCAAGAAGATCATGAACCAGGTGTTCCAGTCACTGCGGGGAGAGTTTGAGCTGGAAGAATCGTACGATGGCAGGACCATCCTGGGGACCATCATGAATACCATCAAGGTACAGCCAGCTTTAGATAGTTGCATTGACATGGGGATCTCGTTGCTTAAGTACCTTCTAAGGGGTCGTGAATAAACAATGATTCAAGACGGTTCTCCAACAATTTGGATGCCTGGAATGACTTTTGTCTGGACAGATAGGGGCTGCCTCCTGTGAGAGGAAGAAGCAAAGCCATTTGAACTAGATGACCAGTTGTGTCTATAAGGTCTGAAGAACAAGGAGTGTTCATTCCTCTCACTGATAATCTCCTTGGCTTTTGAACAGATGGTGACTCTTCAGCTGTTAAACCAACATGAGCCAGAGACGGGAGAGAGCAGCAATGAAGATGAGGAAGAACAACAACAACAACCTCGGAGCCTTTCTCAGGAGCAGTGGGTCTCAGCCAGTTCTGAGCCATCTCAAGCACCCCTGAGTAGGGAGAGGCAGGAGTCCCCAGTGGTGCAGACGGAGCCGGTAGTCAAGGAAGCTGACCCACTGCCTCCTCAGGCCCTCCCCACCCCCCAGGAGGATGCACAGAGAAGGCAAGGGAAGTCCACAGAAGCAGAGGTGCTCACAGAGATACAAGATGATTCGCTCCCACCTGAACTGGCTTACATCCCCCCTCTAAGATCTCTGGAGCCCCCAACTTCAGTTCCCCCTGAGCCTCCGGGTCCTGTAACTGTGGACTCTGAGTGTCAGGAGACGCTTGCTGCCAGCCCACTGGAAAATGCCTGTGTTGGGGAGCAAGAAATCCCCACAAGACTGTCCCTGACTCTAGACCCTAAGAAGGTGGACCCACTGTCCTTGGAGCCTGAAAGTCCAGGAGGAGAGCCTCAGCCTCCAGAGTTCAAGAAAGAGGAAGATGCCACTAGCTCTGCTGGTCCCTCCAAGGAGCTGTCAAGCACAGAAGCAGGCTCTGTAGCTGCAGGGGCAGCGCTTGGACCCAAACACTCCTCTCAGCATTCCAGGTACGTCCTTGTGAGCAGAGGTTGAGGGACAGGTGGCTGCATGGTTCTCTCTGGTTTTTCCAGAGCTGGCAGTTCGTCCCTCAGACTCACTGATGGACTGATTCACTTTTTCATTCATCCATGCATTCATGTATGTTTTCAGTGATGCCTACCATAAAAGTCTCTGTAAGCCCTGTGATTGTGTGGTAGGCAAAGCAGATTTGGTTCCTCAGGTGAGGAACTTGCGGTCTAGTGGGGACTGTTTATGAAAGTATGATAAGTACTAAAAAAAAAGAGAGAGAGACTGGGTGTATAATAGGAAATAAAGGGGGAATTATTCTACTGTAGATGGGATGGTTAGGGATGGATTTTGAGAAGGTAACAGTTAAACAGATCTGAAGGATGGGAAGGGGACTTCCATGCAAGAGTGTGAGGAAGAGATTGCAGAAGGCAAGAACAGCACATGCGAAGGCTCTGCAGTCGGAGGGGACGTGACACAGGAACTAAAAGAAGGCCCAGTAGTAGGAGAGGGCTGGTAAGCTAATGCTGTAAAACTAGGTAGGGGCCAAATCATAGGAGATTTTGTCACTGTTAGAAGTTTGGACTTTAAGTACGGTGTAAAGTTGTTAAAGGAATTTAAGCAGAAGAATGACTTGGTCTGACTTATTAGCTTTAAAAGCTCTCTCAGCCTGGAGGTTATGGAGGGAGTCAAGAGTGCTAGGAGGCTCGTGTGGGCGGAATTCCCGGGTGGTGACCGCAGCTGCTGGGTTCTTACCCCAGAGCCCGTGGGCACTGGTCTAGCGCAGGGACAGTTTCTGTGACTTGATTCTGATTTTTCTTTCAGTCTCTCCGGGGATGAAGAGGATGAACTATTTAAAGGGGCAACTCTGAAAGTTCCAAAGTCCAAAGCACAGTCTGAGGAGGAGGATGAAGATGAGGTGGTAAGGAGATCCCACACACTGCCGCGTCCTCACACCACTACCCGGGGGCTCTTCCCCACTGGCCCTGAGAAGAGGAACGGAGTCTGTTGGTGGCCCGCTCCCTGGGCTCTGTGTGCAGGGCCCTGTGGGAGCGGGCTGGGGGCCGGGAGGGGGCAGCTCTGTAAGCATAGTGGGGATGGTCAGGTACCACTTTATTCTTGAACAAGGACCACAGTCTGTCTCCATGCAGGAATGGTTTGCACTGTAAGCGAGGAAGGTTGGGCTGATTAGTCCTGCATTAGAATGCTACGCCTCAAGTTTTCTCACATCTGCTAGGATATTATTTATATTTAAGAATTGAAGAGGACTTTGAAGATTGTCATGTCTGGCATCCTTGTTCATAGGCAAAGAGACTGAGGCTCAGACAGATGATTTACTTACCTAAAGCCACATTATGACTTAATGGCAGAGCTAGGACTAAACCCTCAAGCCCCTCCTATGACCACCACTTTGAGCATTTTCTGCTTCCTCAGCCCGCTGCCTTGTTGTGTCCTCACAATATTCCCAAGCAGAAAATGGCTGAAATACTGAGGCATAGAAGCCTCGAGCTACAAAGCTCCCGAATAGAGGCCAGGAGGGTGAGTTGCTGATGGAGCCTGGTCAGAGCCCCCGGTCCCTGCATCTGCTGTCCCCACTGTGTTGCTAAGGCCACCGTGCCTGTCCCTGGGACACTGGGACTGCTGCGAGGGAACTTACTAGAATGAAATGTGGGTGCGGAGCACAGGTCAGCTTTAGCCTCAGTCTGTCCCGGGAACAGTAAATGGGGGCAGATTCTCTCCCCTCGTGTATCAGAAAGGGTGGTTTTCCCTTTTGCCAGAACCTTGGGAAAATGGCAGTGACAGAGCTGGGGTCCAGCTCCCGCGTACCACAGCCCTTTCCTCCTGCCTGCGCTCCTTTGGGAAATGTGCCCCAGTTCCTCCCATTAGCCCTTCTTTCCAAGAATTAAGCTTTCATTTGAGAATCCTGAATACAAATTCTGTCCTTTAAAAAAAAAAAGGAAACAAAATACCAATTGAATATTCCAAGTGACTGCCTTAAATATAGTTGGAATATTTTATTATCCCAACTATATTATTAGCAGTATATTATTGATACCAATACTTCTATTAGTGGCAAGTTAACTTTGATTTTTCTGGGTATTCTGAAAACTACTTCACAGACATTCTCATTTAATCTTCTAATCCAATGAGGTCTGCACTTTTATCCCATTTATAGAAAAGAGGACTGAGGTTCAGGGAGATTAAGAAACATGTCCCAGGTTATATAGCTGGCTCCGGGTGATATATATCTGGTAAATATAGAGCCAGAATTTTAGCTGGAACAAAACCGAAACAGTGAGCCACATTTTTATTTATTGAATATTTGTTTGTTTGTTTGTTTTCGTGAGTGAGCCACATTTTAAAACTCTGTACTGTCAGGGCTTGTAGATCACTTGATTCCCAGAGAGGTGGACAAGGTCCATTAGTCGGTGGTGGGGATGGACCTCTGACCCTTTGGCTGGCCCAGTGAAGACAGATTCTGGGTCAGAGTAGCTCACTGGAGCAGAAAGTACCTTGGTAGAGAATACTGTGTGTCTGAATCCAGTATCAAATCCCTGCTACCCCCGCACGACCTGTTTCTTGCCAATGCAGAAGGAAAAGGCCTGGAGCTCAAGTCATGAAAAGTGGGGGGAGTTTCTCCTTGCCCCCTACCTGGTAGAGAGCGTGAAAGAGGGGCCAGTGAGACCAGGGGAGTGGGAGGCCATGGCCCTGTGTTCTAGGCTTGCTTCCTCACTTGGGATTCCCCACTTAGTAATATGGCCGAACTCTAAATTCAACTCTCGAATGACGGGCCATGTTCAGAGCCAGACAGGCCACCTGAGGCCACAGCGTCATTTTTTCAAGTGTGATTGCATTCTTGCCAACCTTCCTTCATCCTCCTGCAGCCTCTCCTGCCTTCAGGCTGCTCTGCTCTGTTTTTCCTCCTGCTCCCTTCTCTCCCCTTCAACCCTTCTCTCTCCACACGAAATACATTGTTACTGCATGAGCGGAAACCTGTCAAATCAATACCTGTGTTTCACAAATAAATGACAAAATTAGCCAAACAAAGTTGGTCTTCTCGTTTCTGTTGAAAGATTTTTCTCCCTTCTCTGCCTGCCTGTCTCAGCTTTACCTGGAAGCCTAGGTTTGCTGGCCTCAGGGTTGGGCCTTTTAGTAAAACCTCTAACAAGCTCTTGACTCACTTCACCTCACACAGGCAGGAAGCCCGGCCGGTGCAGGAACACGTGAGCACTGACTCCTTTTTTCTGTTTTGTCAGAGCATGAAGGGACGCCCGCCCCCAACACCCCTTTTTGGAGATGATGATGATGACGATGACATTGACTGGCTGGGATGAAGACCCAGGACACTGATACAAAGGCTTCTCTACTGACCCTTCCCTAAGCACGATTTTGCACAGCCAGCCCTGGGTCTCGGTGAGCCACGGGGTGAGGTGGAGGCGAGCATTCTGAGGACAGTGCCTCAGATCATCTGAGTTAGCCAAGTTCTGAGCCCCCCCCTGGCTGGGCGAAGAGAGCGCGAGCCCGTCTTCAGAATGCTGGGGTGTCAGCAGCCGGCCTGGTCCTGCCTCGGGGTCCCGTTTGAAGGAAGGGCTGGTTGGCTCCCCTCTAGTCAGTTACCTAAAAGAGTCCTGTCCTCGTCCACGCCTTTTGTTCTCTTCACTAACTCGGACTGCTGGGGGGAGGCCCCCATCTGCCTCCCAACGCTCAGCTGTGCCCCAGCAATAAGACCTGGCACCCGCGGTGCGGTCTCCCTGGTGGAACCAAGGGTGGGTTACACCTTCTAAACCCCAGTTAACAACCTTGCCTGCACTCCTGGCACATTACCTTTCTCTGCCTTAAATCTTTGAAATTTACCAAACAAAAATAAATATGTATAATCAAACTTGACTCAAGCTCTTGGGGAGAAATTGAATTTGGTTCTAAGGGCTGTCTGTGCTCCTCTCTGGGACTCTGAGGGTAGGAGTTGTAACAGATCTGGGTCAGTTAATGTGCATAAAACCATTCTGACATATTCCCTTTGGTACCTAACCCTGGGACTTGAGGCTTTCAGAACAATGTCACCCTCCATGGTCCCTGCTCATCCCAGCTGCATTAAGGCTCGGGGTCTGGTGGCTATCTGAGCACCAGTCCTGTCATCCACTCGCTCCTGCGTGTTTGGTCCCACCCGGGAAGTCATGCAGAGAAGATGGGAGGACCTACATTCCATCCCTTAAGGCCCCTGAGAGACTTCACTTTGAGAGCAGCTTCCATTCATTCCCTCTGAGCTCGGGGCCCAGAGCAATGAAGAAGACGGGAGAAAATAACTTTACTGCTTCAAAGATCTTTCCAAGACCATGTAACTAGTCTTCAAAAAAGTAGAATAATTTTACTAAAAATGCCTGATTTTAAATGTTGGTAAGACAGGAACATGAATTCCACTTTACCTGGCCTGACGTCATCCTGTTTTTCTCATGGCGCCCGATCTCTATTTGTTACACAAACAAAAAAGCATGACTGTTGCCCTGGCCAGGTGGCTCAGTTGTTTGGAGCATCATCCTGTACACCAAAAGGTTGCAGGTTTGGTTCCTGGTCAGGGCACATACCTGGGTTGCCGATTTGATCCCCGGTTGGGGCACATATTGGAGGCAACTGATCGAAGTCTCTTTTTCCCTTCCTCTCTAAAATCAATAAACATATCCTTGGGTGAGGACTGAAAAGAAGAATGACTGTGACCAGGCTGGTATTGTGGAGTGCCTGCCTGTGGGCCAGTGTTTCAGGGCTGGGCTTCCCTGAGCTCAGAGTTGTCTCCACAGCAGATGGACACTCAGTCCTTAGCCCTACCTGCTCCATTGGCTCACTCCGCTCCTGCAGCTGTTGTAAGCATTACGGGTGCTGTTTGAACAGGGAGAAACAAGAAGAGTCACACACTACTTAAAATATATATATTTATTAAAATGCATTTTTTTAATTCCCAAAGCTTAAGACCATCTTTCATCTAGCCCACAGGGCACCTGAGCATAAACGTTCCAGTACACAGCAGTGCTTCTCTCTCTCTCCCTCAGGGTCTTGTTTCCTTCTCTGTACCAGGTTCCAGTATCTGGAGAGTCCCATCTCACTTTACAAGTCCAATGCTTTGGTTTGACTGCTTATTGCATCTTCAGTCAATCTCCCTTCCCCCCATGCTTACTCAGTATTTTAAGTGAATGAATCGTGCTTGTTATGGGTGATCAATACATAATAAATAAAAACATTAAGTATTGTTCAGAGCAGTTATCCGTTCTGCATAAAAGAAGGATCGGATAAAAGGGGGCATCAAGACCATGAGGAGCCCCCAGGCACTTAAAGCCATTGACGGTCTTCCTGCTGCTGGCAGTGCAGCCTGGTGGGAGGGGCTCCCTCTATCCACAGGAGCCTGGAACGCAGTCCTGCCTCTCTACTTTTATCTACTGCCACTCTCCCCCAGCAGGAAGCAGGTCCCAGCAGATGCTGCCATCCATCAAGAATAAAATGAAACCATTTCATTAAAATTTTTTTGTATTGTATTATTGTGCAAAATTGCTAACCAAGAGTTCAGTGGGGAAAAGTGAGAAATCTTAGTCTATCAGCATGGCCCGTAGAAGAGACAATCTTCTCGGGCTCCAAAGGCAGAAGGGTGAGAAAAGGAGCCAGCTTGGTCTCTGTCCCCCAAAGACAGAGGGGGCCAGGAAGTCCGATGGAAGATGCCCCTCTGGGTAAGGCACAAATCAGGAGAGCAAAGGATACCTGGGTTCCACGTCCTTCACCCAGAACCTACCTCCTTGTCTTGAAGATCTTTGGAAATTGTTAAGTTTTGAATCACAGATAAGCCCCTGGGTTCTGTTGTCTCCATCTCCCCGCTGGTCACAGCAGCCTCCTAAGGCACAAAGACCAGGCCTGGGCTCTCTGAGGAGAGGCGGCTGCACTGGCATCTGAACTCCAGGGAGCGAGTCTTGACTTCAGCTGGAAGTTTCTAGGAGCAGTGAGGACCATCCATCAAAAGCAGAAGGAGGCTTAAGCCTGGAAGTACAACGCCAGCTTTCTCCAGGCCTCGGTGCCTGCGCAGCCCTCGCCAGCTAACCTATGCTGAGTAACGGGTAGGCTAGGTAGTAGCCCACAGCCGAGCCCAGGACCACGCCAAGGAAAATCCAGGTGTTGTAGGACATCACAGCCAGCATTATGAAGTAGCCAATGACCACCTGAGCGATGTGGATTAGAGACTGGCCAAAGTGACACAAGAACCACCTAGATAGAAAGGAGAAGCAAGTTAATGTCAGTAAACGAGCTGAAAACCAGGGGCTAGTATCAGGAAGTAGGGAGCTTATTTGTAATTTGTATGCGTAACCCAGGAGAGATTTTTTGTTTTGTTTTTTTAAAGAGACATATCAGAAACCACTGCTGGAGAGGGATTTGTACAAGGAGTTTGGGACAATCACTTCTCTACTTAGTTCTGAGCTTTCTGGAATCCCAGGCAAAAAGGGAAAATGAGATATGTAATCTACCATGTATTATATGATAGAGATAATACAAGATCATTTTCACCAATATGGCTTTTCCCTCCTCTGAAAAAGGGAGCAGTATTACAATGGTAAGAATTGGGATCCCAAATGGTTGCCCTATTAGGATGGGAAGGACAGTACAGAGAGGCTGCCTGTTCCCCCACCAACGTGGGTACATTGCTGACAGCAGTTCTTATCATTTATGGGGACAGCTGCGATCCCATCCTGGGTTTGTGAGCCTGAGTGGCCTGAGGGAGCCTGATGAGATTGAGGGGACGGCTGGGCGGACAACCCTGTTATACCAGAGTTCGGAGCCTCCCAAGTGGCTGTTCATACAGTGAGTTCTGGCTTGAGCAGCTGGAGATCTGGGCTCTAGTTCACCTCACTACTTATTAATAAGCACTCTGACAAGTCCTGGTCCTTCCTGAGGCCTCCATTTCCTTTCTGCTCCTTGGGGTTAATATCTTCCGGGCCCACCCTATCAGGTGAATGTGGGTATTCTGCCCATTTCCCACACCTGTGCCCCTTACCTGAGGCGGGGTGTGCTGGCCGGGGGTAACTCTGAGCTTGAAGAAGAACTCTGGTCCGTCTCTTCGTTCTGCTGGCTGGTGCAGGTGGACATGCTCACCAGGTTCTGGTGGAGTAGCTTGGCTTTGCCAAACTTGATGCTTTCGTACAGCACAGACAGGAGCAGGATCACCAACACCGAAAGGGCCATGCCTGTCAAAGGAGGCGGAGTTACAGAGACCTGGCCAGGCAAGCTCTGCTCCCCTTCCCGCTGCTTCCCAGCACCTGTCAGGTGGCAGAAAGCACCTCCTCCACCCGTTCCCTCTCAATCCGTTCCATCTCCCTTCTTGCAGCTTCTTCCCCACCCCCGTTAGGCTCAGAGCTTCTGCACTGTCTTTCCCCTTCCAGTCCTTTCTTGGCAGGGCTGGCCCACGGGACTGTGGCTCTGAGATCAGGAAGAGTATCGGCCTGAAAAAGCCAGGGCCGAGAGGGAAGAAGCCGTATACCACCGCTGCCCCAGCTGCTCCCCCAGCAGGCGGCACAAATCTCTCAGGACTTCCCGTTGAGGGAAGAGCAGTTTAGCAAGGTCCTGTTTAAGTGCAGCACACAGAGAAGCCCGGAAGGAAAGATTTACAACAAAGGAGCATAATTATCTCAGCAAATTCAGGTATAGCAGGTTCTTATTCTCAAGTAAATTTCCCAAAGTTTCTACTTGTGTGTATTCCTTTCACAGTAATGGGAAAACCCCAATAAATTATTTTACCAAAACGTTAAGTGCTTATTAGAGCTGCTGTGTAACATTAATTGCTAATTGCTATTTCTGTTGTACCAGAGGAGGGATACTAAGTGGGCCAGCCATAGGACTTTATTGGGCTCCCAGGAGGAAATCATCTCCAAAAGAGGCAGGTTTTTAAAATATAAAATTACAAGTAATTACACACATGGTAATAAATTCAAACGGTGCAAAAAGGGTTTGCAGTGAAAAGTAAGTCTTCTTCCCCCCTCATGCTCCCAAACTCCAATTCCTCTCCCCAGAGCAGCCTGTTAGCAATACCCTGAATAGCCTTCTAGGGATACAAAATACAGCGTGGAGCAAAAGTCAGTTTTCAGTTGTTCGTATGGAAAATCCTATATAATAAAGAGCTAATATGCTAATTAGACCGAACAGCAGGATGACCTTCCAGACAAAGCCAAGGCTGAGAGGGCTGGCTGAGGATTCGAGGGACTGTGAGAGCCGAGCCCTTTGCATGAATTTTGTGCATCGGGCCTCTAGTAGTACAATAACTAACAAATAATAAAAAGAATAAATTCTGTGTTCTGTGTGCTCTAAATCTACCTTCAGTCCTTCCCTGTAATAGAGGGGGAAACTGCATCCCTGGCCTCTCTCTCGGCCTTTGTGAGGATTGGTGAGAAAATGGAGCCCTTTGCAATCTGAAAGGCAGTGGTTGCAAACAGAATCAGAAATGCAAAGTTCCCACTCAGTGGTTATGCAAGAGGAGTCAGGCTTATACCAGTAGAGAACCCAGTTCTCCACTGCCTGACTCTGGAAGGCTTCCCAACTCTTACCTGCAGGGCTTTGGACATCCCAGAAATCAAACAGAAGCACCACCTTATCCGAGAAGAAGAAATGCGTCTGAAAGAGAAGGGAGTCTGCATCACAGGGGGCTTAGGGCAACGGAAACTGTGGTCCCTCATACTCCCCAGCACTCTCTTCTAAACACCCAGAAAAAATGGTGTCACTGCATGTAAGTGCTAGGAGGGCCATTTGTCATCAGGGCCAACTGTGGCCAGACAGGGCAAGGACTTGCCCACGGTCCTGCAGTGGGTCAGCAGCACGGCCATAACTGAGCTGGCCCTGCACCAGGTAGAAGTGAGGTACAGGGTGTCCATCCTCACTGGGCCAGCCAGGCCACAGTGCTCTCGGATCAGGCTGAGATGTCCCTTCAGGGCCCTCCAAACCCAATGGGAATCTCTAGTCTGAGGAACAGCTGCTGCTGCTTACTGCCAGGGCCACGCCATTCTGCTCCGCTGGTGTGCGTGGTGGAGGGGCCAACAGGCAGCTGTCTTCAATCTGTACTCCACATCTCTTCACTAGCTCCTTGAACATGTGCTGAGCCCAATTCCATGACCAGCATACGGACAAAGGTTAGTGGGTCTGCCCTCCAGGAGCTCACAGTCGTGCAGAAACAATGACAGTAGCAGCAATGAACATGCAGAGGTGCCTGTCTCAATGCTCTTCTCAAAGAGCACCCAGTCCTCCCTCGGTTCCGGGTGGCATCTATAGGGCTTTTCATACATTATCTCATTCACAGCAGTTTCTGTGTGACAGACACAGTTAGACCCACTAAGTTGGCCGAGCTGGGATTCCAGCCCGATCTAGTTGGATGCCAAGCCGGGGTGGATTCCAGTGACCATGCTGCCTGCGCTATGGGCTGGGAGCTGGATGGTGATTCCACGTGGCCACACCAGGCTTAATGACTGTGTTTGGCAAGATGAAAGCCAGATGGGTCAATTAGGTTCATCCTCTCAGGGAAGGGAAGTTCCCCTCTAGTCTAGCCCCCAGGTGAGACCACAGCCAGAAGCAGAAGCTCCGCAAACACATTCAGTGTTCATCCTGCTAAGGAGATCCTGGCTGAGTTGGGCCTTTGCCTTCTAAGACAAGGGCCAAATATTAGAACCCTCAAATGTCAGAGCAGGAAGTGTTCACAGAGAGGTTTTTTTAAACTGAGATGTAACTGACATATATTATTTTCAGGTATACATAATGATTCAATGTATGTATGTGTTACAAAATAACACAATATAAGAGTTAACATTCATCACCAACATAGTTAATTTTTTTTTCCTTGTGATGAGAACTTTTAAATCTATTTTATTTATTTTTTCAGAGATTTTTTTTTTTTTTTTCAGTCCTGTGGTTTTCAATGTTGTCTTCACCCCGCCCCTCCCCAGGGAACATTGGCAAATAAAATCTTCTTTATGGTTTGGCTCAGTTCCATTTCCAATCAAAGTACATACCCAGATTTTGGGCTCAATCCCCAGCAAGGGGGCTTGCAAAAGGCAGCTGATGAATGATATTTTTTTCATCCATGTTCTATCTATCCCTCTCTAAAAATCAACAAAGACATTTTAAAACTTTATTTATTTATTTATTTTTTTAAATGGTTGGTATTGTATTTTTTTCTTTTTAAAAAAATATATTTTATTGATTGTTTACAGAGAGGAAGAGAGAAGGTCAGAGAGTCAGAAACACTAATGAGAGAGAAAATACCTCCTGCACAACCCCCACTGGGGATGTGCCCGCAACTAATGTCATGCCCCTGACCAGAATCGAACCTGGGACCCTTCAGTCTGCAGGCCGATGCTCTATCCACTGAGCCAAACCGGTTTCGGCTAAAAATTTATTTTTAAAAATCTTCCTTATAACTCCACTATATAAAACACAGAATGTAGAGGAGAGAGGGCTTTGCTGAAAAACACTGATCTGGTGCAACTCTGGCTCCTCGCTACGCCCATCTCATTTCCAGTTGGGAAAGTGAGTCCCAGGCGGGGGAGGGACTTATTCAGGACCTCATCAGAAGGAAATGGAAGCCTAGGCGGGTTTTTAAAAATTAGGTTGAAGAACTTAAGAATAAAACTAGCTTTTTATCCCCCTGATTTGAAAGTGGTACTTGTTCAATGTAAAAAGCTGAAACAGTAGCCAAACGAAAGTAAAAATCATTTTGAGCCCTATGCAGAGATATCCCTTGTTAAGAATTCAAAAAGCATATTTGTTGACATGGCAAACTGTTCATAAAAGATAAGCAAACACGCACAGGTACAAATAATCCTGTGAAACTCCATTTATGCACTCATTCAATCTAGCCCCAGGCATAGTCCCTGCAGAGGGGGGTGAGAGAGAGGGGAGAAGGTGGCCCTCCCTCTGAGTTCCCTTGATCTAGGAGTTGGCATGACTGGAATGTCCCCAGTGGCTAACCAGTGAAGTTCCCTATCTGGGTTCCTTCTATCATCCTTGGGCCTGGGCCAGCTCTCTCAGGTGCCCCAGATGGCTAGACCGGAACACCCACAAAACAGTGAAATTAATTCAACCAACCAACGTTTACTCTTGTAGTGCTAGCGGTGCAGATACTGGAGAGAGAGGGATGGGTGAGACAAGTCCTTGGCCCTCATGAAGCTATTGGTCTATTGGGACAGAGGGACGTGAACAGGTGGTTACAATGGTGTCTGGAGTCAGCGAGAGAGAGGCATCAGGGAGGCCTTCTGGGGAGTGCTGGGGACAAACCCCATCCCCACCCCCACCCCGGAGACATCGAACCCAGCTAGGGAAGCAGGTGGTTAGACCCGTGGTCGGCAAACTGCGGCTCGAGAGCCACATGCAGCTCTTTGGCCCCTTGAGTGTGGCTCTGCCACAAAATACCACGGCCTGGGCGAGTCTATTTTGAAGAAGTAGCGTTAGAAAAAGTTTAAGTTTAAAAAAATTGGCTCTCAAAAGAAACTTCAATCTTTGTACTATTGATATTTGGCTCTGCTGACTAATGAGTTTGCCGACTGCTGGGCTAGGACATCTTGTGAAGCAGGAAGAGCAGGAGGCAGTCAGGGGAAGACAGACAACCTGGAAGTGCCCACCCAAGGGTCTGGTTCTCCCTCACCTGGGAGTGAGGAGCTCAGGAGGGACAAAGCCTCACCCACCGTGGCCTTTTCGCTGCAGAAAGTGTTTCAAAGCAGCATGACGCGGGCCCTCAAGAGCACTGCGGTCAGACGCACAGGGGCAGGGCCCTAATCTCCTTGCCCATTTAGGATGAATCTCAACCTCCTGCAGCTGGCTTTAACTTTTTTTATCTGCGTCGTATTGAGCGCCCCACCCTGGGTAGGGAGAGGCTGTGGTGAAGACAGCAATCAGAGGACGTTGTTTTGGTCTGTGTTTTCTCACTCCAGAGTTAGCTACACTTTGAGAAAAGGTCCCTCATTTGTAAACCAAAGAGTTTAAGGGGGACGTTGAGGTCCCTGTCCTGCCTGGGGCTGGCTGGGGAACTTTCCACTGGCCCTTCCCACCTATTTCCCCTTTTAGTGAACCGGCAGGAGGTGGGGGAGGGCCTCTGACTAAATGATCTGTGTTGCCTTCCTGGATCTTAAATTCTACGACCTTCTTCAGGGAGGAAGAAAACTAGATGTTGTTTGTTTGTTGTGTTGTTCCCCTCCCCCACCCCACCCCGCAAAGACCAAAGGGTCTTGCAAGCTGTCATCCTCTACAGCCCAGGTGAACTCTACCGAGAAAGTTTGTCTGAAACGCTATTTCTGCAAGTGTCGGGAGGTTGGCAAGGAGCTGGTTCTGGTTGTTGTGTGTGTGTCCCTCCCCCCCGACAACACACACACACACACACATTCACAAAAATCAGACCACGAACTTGCCAAGACAGGAACCTGACCCAAATGTGCGCCCCGATCACAGGCTGTAACGCACCGGGCTGCCCGCCTCCTGCGAGCCTTCCCTGGGTCACCCCACGCGCTGCGCCCCGGGCAGGGGCTCCCCGGACTCGCCGGTCCTCACCCGCTGCGCCCCCACCCTCAGCTGCCCCGCAGCCAGCGCTCAACAATCTCCCATTCGGTGGGACTGACACCCCGCAGGAGGAGCACACAAACGCCCAAAGCCACCTCCAGCCCTGCCTCTCGCGCCTCCCCAACCGGGTCCTCGCTGTTGACAGCGCTTCCAACACACCCCCTTCATCAGCCCGCGGCCAGGGCGGCGGGCGCCTCGGGGTGCCGGGCACCACGGCTCCAGGGGCCCGGCCCCAGCCGCCTCCCCCGCGCCCGCTTCTCCCGGAGGCGCCCGGACTCACCTCCATGGTGAGCGCGCTGCCTGTGCGCCGGGCACGGACCCGCCCGCTCCGGACTCCCCGTCCCGAGTCCCTCCGGCAGCTGCCGCGATCGCCGCTAGGGCCCGGCGGTCACGTGGTGGGAGCGAGCCGGGCGCGCGGGCGCCTGGGAGTTGTAGTCCCCACGGCGCACCCAGCTCTGCGCGGCCCGGGGCGCACCTGCCTGCCCGCACCCATCACCGCCCAGCCCCAGGCCTCCTGCCCGCCCCCCCCCCTCACCCCCAAGCCCTAGCGGCGCCGCGGCCGGAGTACCCAGCGCCGCGGGCCGCCTCCCGCATTTGTCCTCTTTTACTGTAAAAGGGTCATTGCTCCTTGTAATCAATCAGGTGAAGCTTAACTTGAGTTGAAAACCGGAAAAGTCAACCCTATGGACATAGTAGCAACACAGGAGAAGTAAATTAAAGAAATTGTTCCCCAGGCTTTGAATGTGGCCATTAAAAAAAATAAAATAAATCTGACTAGTCAAAAGCAATGCACAGTGGTCATTTTAATTTGTATTTCTTTGATTGCTAGGAGAGTACACTATTTTGTTTTGTTTTGTTATTTTCATGTTTGTGGGTTGTCTGTCCATTTCATCTTTCCATTGGGGGGAGTGTTTCTGGGGAATGAGGAGCTTGTCACAGTATTTCATTTTAAAATACCTGTGTTCAGTAACCCTTTGCCAGTCGTCCTGTGAGGCAGGGGACTCTTCGGGGAAATCTCAGCAGAAACAGTCCTGGCCCACCTGGAGCCCAGAGTGTGAGCTCTCTCGCTTCAAATCCTGAGCCAGCAGATGTTGGCACCTGAGCCTCAGTTTCCTGGTCAGTAAAATGGACACAACAGAATCTATGTCGTAGGGGTTGTAAGGCTCAAATGAAGACTCTGTGTTAAATTCTCGGCGCCCAGGAAGGCCAGGTCCGCATGGGGTGCCCTGAATCCCCTCGGTGCTTGGGGACGATTTCTGGGGCAAGAACCTGACCATTCCTCGGTATTAGCTGGAGCAGAGAATAAAGAGGACCTCCGTCCGTGCCAGACGGGAAGGCTCTGTGGCTGGTCTCTGGGTCTGACCTTCTGGAGCTGCCGACCCACTGGCGGGCTTCTGGGACAGGAAGCTGCTGAAGCTGGAAGGCCCCCAGACTCTGGGAGAGACTGACCTGCAGCCCCCCTTTGGCCTGCGCCTTGGCTGGCCTGCGGGTCAGGGTGGAATCCAGCCCAACCGGTCCAGTCTGGGCATTGGGATGGACTCTTGCATCACTGCCATGGCCAGGGCTAGGGTCGGGATGACACAGGAGGCACAGAGGCCTGGCTCTCTACAGACACGGACTTCTCCTCCCCTTGATCCCAGGTCCTTGTTGCACCCTGCAGGAGGCAGCCAATCGGTGTTTTTCTCTCAGACACATCCATGTTTCTCTCTCTGTGTCTCTCCTCCTCCCTTCCACTCTAAAAATCAGTGGGAAAATATCCTCAGGTGAGGATTAATAAGAACAACAATAACAAAAAACACACACACACACACAACTTGGCAAAACAATGGAACGCCTTTATTATACACAATCTGCCAGTCATCGCCAAGATGGCTGCCATCAGCAAGGCCAGTGGGCACTTTGGACTCCTTCAAGGAACCTCAACAGAAACTTCTGGGCATTTACCCATTTGTCTTCCAAGGGAACAGGCTGCTTGCTTTTGTTCTGAAATAAAATCTTTCAAGCATGGAGAGGGGCACCAAGCATGGACTGTCGGTGGAGGAAAAGGCAGGCTGGACAGCCTGATCACTGACCAGCCTGGAGTTACTGAGTTCCCACCTCTGGGGCCACCGCTGCTGCTCTTGCTCCAGGCAGTTCCAATGCCGCCTCTGAGTCTGGCTCATGAGATAGATGAGCAGACGTTGTTTGGACCTTAGAGCCTTTGGGCACAATCATGGACGACTCTGAAGAGCTGATTTTAAGAATAAATGCCCTCAGAAGGCTGCCGGCATAGTAGTTCCACGGTTTCCCTTTTCTAGGTGATTTGAATCAGCCCATCAAAAGCTTCGCATTTCAAGGCCAAAAATAACGCTTCGGACTTCAGGGGGAAGTTTGCTCCATGCTTGCATAGAAGAGGAGCAGAAAAGCCTGCTTGCTCTGTCCAAGAGCAAGATGAGGCCATTTCGGTTTGAGGGGTTTCTCCTTGGCATTGAGTTGATTCATTTCTGCACAGGGAGTGGGATTATTTGTTAAAATTACGTACGTAACAGCCCTAACCGTTTTTTGCTCAGTGGATAGAGCATCGGCCTGCAGACTGAAAGGTCCCAGGTTCGATTCCAGTTTGGGGCATGTACCTTGACTGCGGGCACATCCCCAGTGGGAGGTGTGCAGGAGGCAGCTGATTGATGTTTCTCATCAATGTTTCTGGCTCTCTATCCCTCTCCCTTCCTCTCTGTAAAAAATCAATAAAATATATTTTTTACAATTATATACCAAAGTCCTGGCTAGTGTTGCTCAGAGGTTAGAGGGTCAACCCATGCACCAAAGGGTTGCAGGTTTGATCCTGGGTCAAGAGGAACATGTACCTAAGTTGCAGGTTTGATGCCCCGCACAGGTTGATAGGTTGTGCATGTGTGGGAGGCAACCAATCAATGTGTCTTCTCTCTCTCTCTCTCTCTCTCTCTCTCTCTCTCTCTCTCTCTCTCTGTCTCTCTCTCTCTCTCTCTCTTCCCCCCCCCTTTCCCCCTCTATCCTTCTCTTCCACTCCCTCCAAAAAGCAATAGAAAAAATATTCTAGGGTGAGGATTAACAAAACAAAACAAAAAATTACATACATACAAAAAAAAAGTAAATTGCAAAAGAAAATTAGATCAGAAGCAAATAAGTTTGGACCAATACTGCTGATAAAATGCAAATGGCTAAGAAACGTATTAAAATGCGATGTCAAGTTCTCTGTTAGATCTTTCTTAAATGCTGTCTCTTTCCTGCTCTGAACAGCTGCTCTGTGGCCGGCAAAGGGCGACCTGAAACCATCTGACTTGGTCCCTATTACCCACGTCTCCCTTACACCCTTTACGGGAGAAGCAGAGCAAGCTCCAGAGCCCAGGCGTCAGTGGTCAAGAAAATGTTAAATCTTGTGCTGCAAACCTCTGATGATTTAATCAGTGAAGTAATAAATTTCCAGTGGGGGGAAAAAAAGAACTTCGTTGAAAATTAAATAAATAAATAAATAAATAAATAAATAAATAAATAAATAAATAAATAAATAAATAAAATTTCCCAGCAGCGTACCTGGCAGTGGGAGCCATTTAGTGGCAAATATGTTCATTCTGTGAGAGGAGAGGGGCCGCTTGCTCTGTTCCCACACAGTCTGAGAGCCTCAGGCTGAAAGCTGTGTGGCTTGGAGGGAAGTCACGGCCTGGGGAAGTCCCAGGGGAAGGCGACAGAGGTCTGGAAGGGAGGCCTGCCGCTGCCGGGACATGCTCAGCAGGGCGGAGGCAACGGGGAGAGGGTTCTGGGTTTCTTGAGGCATCTGGGCCCCAAGAGCTGGGAGGGACTTGGTGATTTGGGTGTAAATTGTCACGCCTCTCCTGGGAAGTAGGAGTAAGAAGATTTGACCCTCACACACGCAGGTTCCCATACACTCACCAAACCCCCATCTCTGGCGGAAGGATTTGCATCACAGCTTTATTCATTCGATTGTTTTTGTTGGCTTGGTCACAATCTGATGACCTTCACACTCAGTTCTGACTTCCTCAGGCGTGTGGCGGTTTTAATAATTAGCCCTAACGTGCGAAAGGGCCCCTGTTCTTCCCGAGCCACCGGAGACGCCCCTGGCCTGGCTCCCTGTCACCAGCCACGCCCGGTCCAGGGTTTTGTATTTGGACAGCGCTTCTCCCAGGAGCAATGGAGAGTCAGCGCTTGTCCCTCCGGCACACACCCGGAACCCCCACCTCCTGCCCCGAGACCACAGGCAGGAGAGAGGGTGCTGCACTGAGTGTGGCAGAAACGGGCAAGGGGCCCTTTAACTGGGGCACTCAGCTCACTCGTGGTCAGCTGGTGGACAGGAAATCCAAGCAGTCATTTCTCCTTCTCAGGCACACGGTAGAGGAACTTGAAGTCTCGTGAAAAGACCACATGCATGAAACGCTACTCCTGCAGAATATCTGGCCTCCATGTACCAATAAGGCCGTGTGACCCCACTATCCTTCTCTGGGCCACTGTGAAGGGTTTCCGGAATGGATGACTTCATACACACACACACACACACACACACACACACACACACACACGAGAGGAAGGGAGAGAGGGAGAGGGAGAGGGAGGGGGGAGAGAGGGAGAGAGAGAAACATCAACAATGAGAGAGAATCATTGGTTGGCTGCCTCCTGCACGCCCCCTTCTGGGGATTGAGCCCTCAACCAGGCATATGCCCTTGACCTTGACTGGAATCCAACCCGAGACCCTTCAGTCTGCAGGCCAACACTTTATCCACTGAGCCAAACCAGCCAGGGCTGGATGACTCCTACCTGCCCCTTTCCATGCCGTAGATCTGCAGTTATAAGTGAGCTTGAGGTTGGAGTCGAACGCTCATGGCTAAGACTTCTGCATGTTTTCCATGCAGCTCCATTCAGCCGACCGCCCAGTTTTCCCACACACCTCTGGCTTGACAGTAACGCTGTGAGAGCATTGTGCACCTGCTGAGTGTGTGTGTCACAGGATGTGTGCACATTGAGGTTGGTCGGTGTGGAGGCAGAGCAGAGAGTGTGCGGTGGGCTTTGTGCTGGTGAGGCTGGCGAGAGCAGGACTAGGCCGTGAACGAGCCCAAGGCCATGGGCAGGTACCCTCCACCGCACTGGGGTTTAGACCCAACGAGGATATCAATCCATTGGACCTTAAGTGCAACTCCTTAGCCATGCAGCCATTCTGACACCTGGCCCACAGGCAATGTTCAAAGTCAGGAAGTTATTTTGGGGACTAAGAGCATTTCTTAAGCATGTTTTTCTCT